GTTTACAGCACACGCGATTTCCGGTTAGCTTCTTAGCTTAGCCTCCTTCACAATGACACACACACACACACTTCAGCAGAGGCCACGCCTTCAGCAAGAAATTGCTTCTCAACAGCAGCGAGTCCAGACCCTCTACAGGAAGCAAAGTGAAGGACAGGGTCTGGTTTTTACCAGGCTAAGCTTCTGTAATCTTTTATTGTGTACCTGATGAATAGTTTTACATCTTTTTGGAGGTCTTCTAAAGTTTTCTCTTGGAGAAATGTTTCTCTTTAGTTTGTTTGTTTGTTAAGCTGCTAAACTCTGACCGCAGAATCAATCAGTTTTAAAAGACTCTGAAGTAAAAATAAAAAGTAAAGTTGTAAGAGAACATTAATCTTCTGTCTAAAGGTGAACAAAGATCATCTTCCTCAGATCTCAAATAGTTAGAAAACATGATTTATTACATAAAGATTTATTTGTACAAGTTGGGATTTTTTGTCCAGCTGAAGGATGCACTTAAAACCAAAATTAATTGATTTACTTTGTTATTTGTGGTGGAATTAATCAAAACAAACCAGCAGAAACAGTGTGATGCTGTCATGTCAGTATGGACCGGGTTTCCAACACTTCGTTGGGTCTTTGCCGTGAAGAATGAGGGCAGGTTTGAAAGGAAAGGGGATTCAGGCAGGTACTTAAAGGGTGAACCCAATAAAGTGTCTGATGAGGCTCCATTCATTGAAGCTGCACACAGAGCAGACAACTAAGCAACAAAACTTTAAATTGAATCTTTAGACTCATCATTACCAGAAGCCTGTCACGAGTAATCAGCTTGTTCCCATTTCTTTAGTTGAATCTGTGAAAAATATCAAAGATAAGACCATCTGACAGACAGAAACAAGAATTTAACTCCAACACTCTAAAAAATGAAATGTTGGTTTTACTTAACCATGTTATGTTACCTGGTTCCACTTAACTAAGTTGAGTAAATTCAAAGCAACATACTCATGTTCTTTGGCTAAAAAACTGGTATATTGCTTTGAATTTACTCAACTCAGTTAAGTGGAACCAGGTAACATAACATGGTTAAGTAAATCCAACATTTCCTTTTTTACAGTGAACAAGATGATTTCCAAAGAGCTGTTTGATGAAAATTTGTCATAAGGGCGATCAGTTAAAGGATGCATCTGTCAGCTCTATGATGGATTTTATTCCTTTTTTTAAGACAACACTTTCTACTGAAGGTTTTATTGTTTGCTTTGACATTTGTTTGCTGTCACGGTCAGGCACAAGGACAAGAGAATCAATGAGAGAAAAACAAACAAACAAAAAAAAAAAAGCCTAAAACAGAACCTGTGAAAGTCGTCCACTACGAGGCAAAGCATTATGGATGGTTTAAAACTTTTGCACGGTTGTAGATCATCGTGTGACCAAATCTGTCCATTCAGCAGGTCTGACCGACGAACTGTGGAGCCATGGGCTGCGGGCTGCGCAAGATGAAGCCGGTGTCGGAGGAGAACAGTCCAGGGAAGATTTACTCCACCCTGAAGAGACCACAGGTGGAGACAAAAGTGGGCGTGGCCTATATGTACCGCTACCTGGACTTCCTGATTGGAAAAGACGGTAAGATGGACAGTAATTATTGATTTCTTGCTTATCCCTGGCAGCTTTTTTCCATAATTTTTTTTCCAGTCAGACATGCAGCCTCTAATCGCTGATCCTCGTGACCTTTTTAGCTGTTATTTCCACCAGGTCATAAAAATGTAAATCACAGTTTCTCCTGCATGCACGGCTGAGATTATATAGCTCAAGGTTTTTCCTGCATCCTGTCACGGCGTGATAAGGTGTGATCACATGGAGAAAAACGACTCTTTGTGTTGTGCGTCGCTTTAAGAAAAAATAAATAATTTCACCTTGGATGTGATTGGTCTGACCACTCCCCTCTGAAAATGCCATCACACCGACCGAACCCCCAGGAGACAAATAACAAGGACTGTGATGCTGAAGGGATCTGTCACTCATGAATAAGAGCTCGCTGGCTGTAATTTTCATCCTGATTTTCTTGTAATGACAGAGTGTTAATTAGTGCTTGTTGCCTGTATTGCAGCATCCATTATAATTTCTGTTCTGACAGTTAGTCAGGCGTGATTTGTGCTAATGATATAGAACTTTCCACACCAATACATGTCAAACATCCTGCTGGAGCCCATAAATTATGCATGCAAAAGTTCACCTTCCTATAGCAAACAAAGTTTGGAGAGTTGCCTGACAGGTTGGGGGAGTGTTTGGATCAAAGCTGTGAAGTTTTGTTCTGTTACAACAGGTCAACTCTGGGCTACGTTCAGCCAGGAGAGGGTTAACTTCAGAGAGGCTGTCTGTGTTGTGCATGGAAATAAAGAAATAAAAAAAGCTCCCTGCTACAAAGATAGCGCCGTTCCACTGATGCACAGCCGTGATCTGAGAGAATCAGCCTGCAGAGTCACCTCCTCTCCTCTTCCTGTCCTCAATCAGAGGTGTTTATGAGATGGAAGATGGGTGTTGCTTCCTGAGCTACAGAAACCTGACTGCGTGACTCAGGGACAAATATTCTCTTATTGTCTCAGAGGGATGAGTTTGTGTGCTTGTGCTGGACTCAAAAACCTGAAAAAGACCAAATCTGTCTCTCAGTGTTATTATTTAAATATGATTAAATCTTAAAGTCAAGGTTGCTGTGGATTCCTGAAATGAATGAAATATGATTTAGGTACAAATACGAAACAGCTGGAGAAACATTTTACAATTAATTATGTTAATTGGCAACAGGTCAGTAAGAGGACTGGATAAAAAGAGCTGAATCGTTTTGTAGCAGGACCGGCCCAAGGCATAGGCAGTGTAGGCAAATGCTAAGGGCACCGTCCAACTTGGGGGTGCCGCAAATGGTGGATGAAAAATATTTTACAACTTTTTATTAGTGTATCAGGTTCAGGTTTATGAAGGTAGCTTGTTCTGTGGGTTTCTCAGCCTGCTTTGTTACTACATGAAGTGTACATTGTTACCTTTTTAATGGACAACCTGGTTTATAAGAATAAAAAATAACATCATAACAAAACTATTTAATCTGGAATGTGAATGTGTGCAAACTGACAGTGAGATTTGGAAAACTGCACAAGGTGCGCCATAGGGCTGATCATTAAGAGTGAAATACTAAAGTGATACTCCCTCCAACCATTAGGGGGCAGTATAACAGTGCATGATTCCTATTCAGCACGAGGAACAGCAAGCTGTAAAGTGAGACTTATGAGGAAGTGAAATGTCCCGCAATATTCTGAATTTTGTCCCTAAAATGAGACATTTGGACACAATTTGTTTTTTACTATTATAACTATATGATATAACTTTATAATATTTTGCTGGTTTTGTATGAAGGACAGAAACTGTCATAGTTAGAAATAAAAGCTAAAAGTTTAAGAAATAAAATCTAAAATAAAAGTTTAAAATGTAGTTTAAAACACAGGTGAGTGTTTTCCTCATCTTTGCTTTTAACTAAACTTTAATCTAAACTGAGGCAGCAGCATACACAGTAGATCTGCATATGCATCCTCCTACTTCCTGTCTGTTGACCAATAGGAGGGGAGCTGACCCCCAGAAGCTCCACCCACTGTATTTGCATAGTATGGCAGAAATACATAAAGGTAAAGTAAAAACAGGAGACAGAGAAATGTAAAAAAAATTGTGGGAAAAAATTATTAAAATGTTTTAAAATAAACATTCAAGAGACACAAATGCATGTACAAGTAAAAGGAAAAATTAAAAAAAATGTATGTTTTTAAAAACAGTTAATTGTAAATTATTTGTTAAAAAATATAATTTTTTGGAACTAAGATGGAAAAAATATGATCAGTTAAATTATAAAACATGAGGTAAAGTTCTCTTTTTTAATTTAATTGGTGCATTTTAAGTGTATTTATTTATTTATTGGCACATTTATATATTTCTGCTTTTATTTCTAATTATGACAGCTTCAATCCTCCATATTTTTGTTGAGTAATTAGCATTGAGCAATAAGTACAAAGTAATATGTATCAAAATTGAATCCTGCATTGATAAATATTGATAAAGATTAAACATTGATAAGTTGTAGGTGACCCAGCTCCAGGGTGCCACATTGTCTAGGGGAGGCCCTGCTCAGATGTGAAAACCAGCAGAGGTTCAATTTGTGAAAAACTGGGTCTAAAACAGTGAAAGAATTGGGAAGACTAAACATCCGATCATCTACAGTTCATAATATCATCAAAACAAAACATTTGAAGAATCTGTTTGTGTAAAATAATTAATCGGTTCAGGAAGGGCGACGGTTTAACCAACATTCCTGACGCTGCTGGATGCAACAGAACAAAAACTCCTCATTCGTCACAGACTCCTGTTCAAGTTCAATCCTTATTAGATTTTAGCAGCAAGGTGAGCTGGCAGAAATAAGCCAGGCTAAACTACCTAAAGCCATTTACAGAATTAATCCACTCCATCACAGAGAATATTATTCATAATCTGCAGCATGTCTTCAAATTACAGGCGAAACATTCAGACGGCTGGTTGTGTGTTGGCTCATTTCTCACCAGGATCTTTATTGATTAAGGAGACGGAGTCCGCTGGACTAAAGGTTTGGGTTAATAAAAGATTAGGTCTTGGATTAGAGTGAGATTAGGGTTAAACATATAACGGAGGTCATGAAGTTAATGGGAAATGAACATGTATGCAGCAGGTCAGGGAGCGGCGGCTGCTATATATAGTCATCCCTCAGTTATTTCTGCCCCCCTGACAATTAGAGCTAAAATGGTGGAGGGAGGGGGAGTTATTTGTGTGTGTGTGTGTGTGTGTG